TCCAAAATAATGTAAATGGAGCCACATTAAACACCAATAATAATGTATACACCCCTATGTTCATAGCAGCATTATTTACAATAGCTAAGATCTGGAAGCAACCCAAGTGCCCATCATTAGATGAATTGATTTTTTTAAAAATACACCAAAAAGCTGTGGTACATTTAAGCAATGGAATACTATGCAGCAGTAAAAAAGAAGGATCTCTTACTCTTTGAGACAGCATGGAGAGACCTGGAGGGCATTATGATAAGCGAAATAAGCCAGTCAGAGAGAGACAAGTATCACATGATCTCAATTTTATGTGAAATATTATGAACAAAATAAAATGACCAGCAATACAGATCCAGAGGAATGGAAGCATGGAATGGACTGACGAATCTCAGAGGGAAGGGGGATGGGAGGAGGTGGGAAAAGATTAGCCAAAGAACTTATAAGCATATATGCATAACCCATGGACACAGTCAATAGTGACATATGGGTGGTATGGGGTGGAGAGAGTCAAAGGGGGGGAAAGGGGAACCTCTGTAAGAATAAAGATAAATTTTTTAAAAATGGAACAGCCTTGCCTGTCTTTTGCCTCAAACCATTGGAATGTTACAACAGGGCAAAATAACCTTTGGACGGGGCCTAGGGTAACCTTGTGTGCCAAAGAACTGGTTACAACTGTAACAAGAGCCCTGGCCGGTGATGCTCTGTGGTGAGTGTTCGCCTGTACACTGAAGTCTCCAGAGTGTGATTCCAGGTACAGGGCAGGTACCTGGATTTCGGGTTCGCTCCCTGCCCGGTTGGAGTGCGTGTGGAAGGTAACCAGTGAATGTGTTCTCTCAAATTGATGTCTCTTTCTCACTCTAGCTCTACCTCTCTCTCCCCTGCCCTCCCTCCCTTCCAATTTCTCAGAAAAGCAAAGGAAAAAAATATCCTCAGCTGAGGATTAAACAAAAAGCACATAAGAAAGCAGCTATTGCCCTAACCGGTTTGGCTCAGTGGATAGAGAGTTGACCTGTGGACTGAAAGGTCCCAGGTTTGATTCCAGTCCAGGGCATGTACCTTGGTTGCGGGCTCATCCCCAGTAGGGGGTGTGCAGGAGGCAGCTGATCGATGTTTCTCTCTCATCGATGTTTCTAACTCTTTAAGCCTTTCCCTTCCTCTCTGTAAAAAATCAATAAAATATATTTTTTTTTAAAAAAGAAAGAAAGCAGGTATTATGACTACTCGGTTGAAAAGTGAAAACATCATTAAGCATAAACATCACTATGTTTTGTTATCCGCACCAATAGAAATGCCGCCTTTCTCTGGATGTAAGTGTTCCCCGGCCTTTCTCAGAAATACCCTCTCCCCTTGCCTCCTAATTGGAACACTGTTTGCCTGAATCAGAGCTTTCCTGGATAGCTATTCTTTTGACCTCAAATAATGCTAATTTGCTTCTCACTTTGAAAGGCCTTTTATGTGTAGGTTAACACAGGAAATAGTTTCAGCTTTGCAGGCCACGTGATCCTTCTCGACCACTGGCCTCTGGTGTTTTGGCGGGAAAGCTGCCCTAACCAGGATGTGGACCAATCTGCTCCAACACAACTTACTGGCCGGCTGCATTCAGGCCAGAGGCCATAGTTTATGGATCCCTGAGTTCAGTCAGTCAGCAGTTCTTTTTTAAAAATAAGAAAAACATATATGTTTATATTTCTCTTTTTTAAAAAAAACATCTACTAACAATATTTCAGCCCTGGCTGGTGTCGTTCAGTTGCTTGGGCATCGTCCCATGCACTGAAAGGTCTCCAATTTGATTCCCAGTCAGGGCACATCCCTAATTGGGATACATGAGAGGGGCAGCCAATCAATGTTTCTCTCTCTCCCTCTCCCTTCCTCTCTCTAAAATTAATGAAAACATATTTTTTTTAACCACAATACTTTAGAAGGCTGAATTTAACTCCCCAACCACCCTGGCACATACATTAAGGCAAAGGCTCCTGGAGAGGCATGTCCACCTGGCTGTGGGCTGGGGACTCAAGGTGAATACACGCCATGCCTCTCGGGCCAATAGAAGGGCTTCTCCCTCGTATTCACTGAGCTGTCCTGCATCCCAAAGGAGACTCTCAGACATGTTGATGAATAAGTCTGTTCCCACCACACCTGGCATCATTTTTTTTCTTACCTTCACCCAAGGGTATGCTTATTGATTTGAGAAAGAGAGAGAGAGAGAGAGAGAGAGAGAGAGAGAAAGAGAGAGAAAGAAACATCAATTGGTTTCCTTCCTTATCTGCCCCAACTGGGGAGCAAACCCACAATCTAGGCATATGCCCTGACTGGAAATCGAACCCGAAACATTTTAGTATACAGGACAATGCTCCAACCAATTGAGCCACAACAGCCAGGGCCACACCTGGGATAATTTTGATAGCTGTGTTCACTTCACTCTATTTGTACACACGGTCAAACTTCCAGGCCAGGATAAAATTCCCATATTCCCATTATCCATCACCATGGGACCTGCCTTGTTGATGGCCATTTGAAGTTCAACCATGCCCCCAAACTCAGCTCACTGGGACGTGAGTCCTTGGGATGACCTCGATGGGGACTCACTTGTACCCCTGATCCTCAAGGTTCTTTGAATCTCTCCTGAAACTGGCATCACGATAAAGCACTGGTATAGCCCGCCACGATCTTCTCCTGGGTCAGGCAGCCTCCACCGCCTTTGATGAGATTGAGATCAGCATCTGCTTCATCAGCACCATCGAGGGCAAGGGCGAGGGCGATCTCTGGGTGTTGGTCCAGGTCACTGAGAGTTAAGCCAGACTGCAGGATGAGCTGATGGACCTGGAAGGAGGTGGGAACACAGACAAGGTTCACATTCCCTTGTTTCATTCTCTCAGCTATTTGCTGCACAGCATGGGCAACTGTAGAACCACTTCCAATCCCCAGCACTTGGTTATTCCTCATGAGATTCTCCTTCTCTGAGAGGCCTACAAGTTTCTTGGCCTCCTTACCGTTGGTGCTTGTTCTGCCTGAGCCGCCTCGAATCCCAGACAACTCACACCAGGGTGGGCCGAGGGCCAGGCCTGGGTGCTAGAGTGGCAGGGCTAGGACCAGCCTGTAGATGGTGCTCAGGATGGCGCCCCTTTACATAATGCTCTTAGAAGTCCCAATGTTTGGTCTCACATGTAGTTCTCTCACACTCTGCAGCTCAGTTGGCCAGGGTGAAGGTATGCCTAAGTCCAAGGTCAAAACTGTCTCTCTGAACCTTAACAACAGCTCTGCTTGGTCCATTAACATGGTTGTCTGGGTCAGTACAAATTCCCTGCTCAGCTTAGCAGTGATGGCGAATCTATGACACGTGTGTCAGAGGTGACACGCGAACTCATTTTTTTGGTTGATTTTTCTTTGTTAAATGGCATTTAAATATATAAAATAAATATCAAAAAATATAAATCTTTGTTTTACTATGGTTGTGAATATCAAAACATTTCTATATGTGACACGGCACCAGAGTTAAGTTAGGGTTTTTCAAAATGTTGACACTCCGAGCTCAAAAGGTTTGCCATCACTGGCCTAGGGAATCAGGTGAACAGAGAATCTATGTGGGCAATCAAGCATTAAAGCAGCTTATGGCTCAGACAGAGAAAAGTGGTTAAAGAGGAGGCAGGGAGGGAGTGTCCAGAATTAATGACCCCTTTTATGGTGCACTTGATACCAAATGTGGCACTATCCCAATGATATGCTTGTTACCTTGTCTATGGGAATATTCTTTCGGGCTCTTTACAGCATTCAATCATTCGACAAACTCTCTGGCTACTTATGATTTATCAAGCACTCTTCTAGGCACTGGAAAAAAAGAGATAAGAAAGTCCATGCCCTCGGGAACCAGCAGTCAGAAAACTGGATACCCGACACATAAATAAATGCATGCAAAAGAGGGTTATGAGCTATTAAAGAAGCAAGCCTGAAATTAGAGGGCTTTCGGACAAAGAAACCATATTAGAGGCCAGGACAGATGACATAATTTGCAAAGCCCAGTACAAAATGAAAATGCTGAGCCCCTAATTTAAAAATCATTATGAATCTCAAGACAGCAGCAATAAAGCATTCATTCAGAATCACTCCCGGGCTTTTCCTGCACCAAGGATAACTGTTATGAGACTGAGTATCATGGCAACCCAGTATGCAGACACTTGGGTGATTCTTTGTGTCTCAATCCTATTTCTACATCCCCTGAAACCAGCAGAATGCTTGTCCATATCTCCCGGAACAGCTCCTCAGGATTCACAGACAAGTGATTCCAAGGCAGCTTATTCTGTATCTAGACTGTTAGCTAGCCGAGATCAGTCTTCAGTGATGGGGTGAGAGGTGAGTTCAGTCAGATATCCTGGGTTCCTGAAAATGCATGCCTTGGTCTACTGGTGACCAAGAGCAGCAAACGTTCTTAAACATGACAAGAGCTCTAATAAGAGCGAGGAGTGCTTAATTAAAGAAGTAATTAGCTTTGTACATAGGACGCTTAGAGTTCGAAAGAGAATACTTATTTGATGGTTTGTGGGGAGAAATGCAATGCTCCCTCTCCTCTTAATCCACCCTAGAAAAGGGTGTGTTTGAACTGAGTGAAAGTAAAGGACATAAGGGGGCTGTGGCATGAATGATAAAACTATTTCAATGAGCAGTTCTTTATTCTCAGTGACCAGAGGGCAGAATGTAAGAAGCTCATAGAACGTAGACCAGGGCCAAGCCTGGCAAAGTGGGTTGGAGGCCCTGGAGAGGTGGCTACACTCTCATCTGTGGAAAGGGCTGCAGAGTCTCCCACAACTTGGACAATTGCTAGAACACTGCCTTTTCCAGCCCAGGAGTTCCACAGGGGAATATAGGATGGCCCCGCTGCAGAAAAACCACACCTTAAGCTCCAAACAGCCGATAAGTGATTCTCTCTCATCATTGATGTTTCTGTCTCTCTCTCCCTCTCCCTTCCTCTCCGAAATAAATAAATGTGCTATACATTGGTCATTGTCCCCAACATGCTGGCCAGTTTCCTGTCCCGCAGCCAGCGGATGCCCATGCTGGGCTGTGCTCTGCAAATGCACCTCTTCATCGCTCTGGGAGGAGCAGAGTGTTTCCTCCTGGCTGTGATGGCCTACGACCGCTTCGTGGCCATCTGCAAGCCCCTGCGCTACACACTCATCATCACCAGGGTCCTCTGTGTGCAGACGCTGGCTCTGGCGTGCGTCAGCGGCTTTGCACTCTCACTCACTCTTACCACCCTGATATTCCTCTTGCCCTTCTGTCAGTCCCATGAGATCAATCACTTCTTCTGTGACATCCCTGCTGTGCTGTTCCTGGCCTGCTCAGACACACGAGCCAATGAGATTGCTGTCTTCGTGGTCTGCACGCTCATCCTGTTGATTCCCTTCTTACTGATACTGCTCTCCTACGGATTCATTATCACCGCCATCCTCAGCATCCACTCAGCCCAGGGCAGGAGCAAAGCCTTCTCCACCTGTGCCGGGCACCTGCTGGTCTCTCTTCTGCACTATGGCTGTGCAATATTCATCTACATTCGCCCCAAGTCATGCTACACCCCAGAACAGGACAAGATCGTGTCCTTAATCTACACCAATGTAACTCCCATGCTCTACCCCATGATCTATAGCCTCAGAAACAAGGAAGTCAAGGGTGCCATCAGGAGACTCCTGGGGAGCTATAACCAGATGAGGCGGCAGCCTAAAGCCAGGTGAAGGGCAAAGTGGAGTCCACCAGGACTAACCCGGCCCCTGACAAGAACCCAGTGGGTCATCGCACTGCACACTTTGCGGCTCCATTCCCCTCACTGAGGGCTGCTCCATGGTTCTGCATGCACCTGAACCTTACCACCCCCTCTTCTATGGTCACAGAGATGGAATAGATCCTGAGGCTGTCCAAAACGCAGCCGTCCAGGGGTATTTTGCTGTCC